GATAAAAATGTAGTTATATTGGCAGAAGGAAAACTGGTCATGAATTGAATTTGATGTCTAAGTGGTGACGTGTTCTAAAATGCCAGATAGGATTTCTGGAATTTTCTGAGTCTTTTTACTCTTTTCTTTTTCTCTACTGTTAAACACTCTGGAAATGAGTAGGAAATTAAGCCTAGGAACAGAGAGCTCTTCAGCCAGAGAGTCTGAATGGTTACAGCTCAGAAAAATACAAACATTTTAGGAAATAAAAGAAAACTTTAGGAATTGAGCCTCAGTTCAGGGAGGTTTGCTCTAATGCAGACACTCCTCCTAAGTGAAGAACAGAGTGAGCTGCATTAAACAAAGCGATTTGCTAAGGGGGAGCTCTTAGTGCTCCTTAAGAATCTGAGTGTCTGGATGTGGTGTCCAATACTTTCAGCCTGAGGACAATATTGATTTGAAAACAGTCAAGGGGACAAAATGAAGTGGAGCTATTTTGGCATGCTGAGGCAATGCCAGAAAAACGCCTCTCTAAATCTCCCCAGGATTTCCACAGCTGTTGAGCAGACTGGCCTGGAGAGGCAAGTCACTGCCCGTGGGAGGCCCGTGGACACTCTGCTGAGGATGTACACATGTGTAGCCACAACAAACAGTGCTCTGGTGGCGTGGGGTGAAGATGGGGAATGCTGATTTTTGTCTTCCTCCTTCCCAGGAAGCTTGGCTCAGGAAGGTCTGGAACTCCATATTCAGTCTAACCAGCCGCAGAATTGTGCAAATTGTGGCCGGCAAATGCCACAATTTAGGGCCACCAAACTACTGTAACAGACAGTACCGTGAGAACTGGGTAAGGATATTTCTGTTGGTGTATTACAGAAGAGCCAGAAAAGTGGAACAGAAACCAAATGGAACTCTGAAAATCCTGGCCTCTTGAAGGTAAAGTGTAATTCAGGAAATAAGAATGATTCAATTTTCAACTGCATTCCACATTAAGAAGCACATTCTATAGCTTTTGTATTATGAAGAATTATACATAAAATTATTAAGCAAATAAAGTAAATATTAAAGGATTCATAATTTCGTGGAGTTCAAGAGAAACCCCTTGGCTGGTAATGTGATGTGTCACACACATGCTGTGGATATTTATTGTCATTCTCTAGCACCAAGCAATTCTATTTTACCCAGCACTGTTTGAAAGTGTTCCCTTATTCTTAACAGTAAGATGAAAACAGAGAATGAAATCTAAACAGCTTTTCATCATTAGATTAATGGATGGTATCATGAAAGGGAGATTTAATTCCAGCAAATTCAGCAAAATTAAACATACTAGTGCCAAGGATTTTTTCTTCCAGAAGCGTGTACAAATGCCATTAACCTCTTAGAGTAGCTCTGGCTGGAGACAGCCACACTAATTTGGTGCAAAACTTTTGTGAATCAGTGTAACATCTGTGATGAGGGGTCACTGCCAGATAGTTCAGAAAAAGTTTCAATGAAAATAAATTGGGCAATTATTGAATAACTTTATGTATCAGGTGGATTTTAGTTTGCTAATTGTTAATACCTCATATAAAGTAAAAAATAATGGGACAAGGAAACTCTTTTTGAAAAATGTAACGTCCTAGAAGTGTGAAGACCCTCAAGTTATCTTGGCAAGAAATATGGCAAACGGTAAGTGAGGAGGGCATTGGGAGGAGAAAGTAGTTTGAGAATGAAGTTAAATCAGAAAGCTTCTTTTGTGGAAACACAGTGAAGATCAGTGGAGGAAATGTCCTACCTTCCTTGTTAGGGCAAATGTTCAGTTTTTGTAGAAAATTAATAAATTAAGATGGTAACTGCTAAGGAAGCAAGTTTGATCACAGTTTGTGGAGATCTAGTGTTGAACCACTAAAGGCTCAGGAAATGCAAACACATCAAACGAGCAAAGTCTGTGAGGGATGGACTGCCAGGTTTAGGGGACATGTGAGCAGGAGAAAGGGCACATTCCTTACAACTTGTAGGAGTGAAGCTGAGAACACTCCAGGCAGTTCTTTAGAGGAAAGACTGGAGACCAGTCAAAGAAGAAAACCTGGGAGCCTGAGGGATTTATTGCTCTGCAATTAGCAGTGAAGGAGAAAGGGACATATAGAAGAAGTGATGAAAAATAACTTTTTTGCTGGAGTGAATTACATTAGGGAGTCCCCAGAAGATCCAACTGGGATGGAACAAACTGTCCTTTCTGTAAGAAAGGAATTATTCTTGAGGAATACAAAAATTTACTAGAATGAAGAATGAGCATGCTGCGGAGGGGATAAAATCTGAAGCATGGTATAAGGCCAGAGTTCAACCAGCGTGCCTCAAAACATAATTAGGTTGCTTTAGCCCTTTTATAGATGAACATTGTCTTTCTAACTGAAGATCTGAGTATTATGGGTCCCTCCTGCAGACAAGACTTAAGTAACCCATACCAGTTGGAAGCAAGGCTCTGGTCTCACCTGGTGACGTCACACACGTGTAGTCTCCAAAATGGTTTTTGTACCAAAGAAAGAAATGTTGGGAAGGAATGCTCTGGTGACCTTTGTGCAAAATTTTAGATGGGCAATTGTACTTGTTATAATTACAGCACATGCACTCTCACTGTGATTTTTTTTCTTTACTGAGAAGTCAAGATGCAAGCAAATGTCCTTTTATTACCAGTTGGTAAGCACACAACAAAACAATATGTTTGCAGAGATTTGAGATGCGGGATTTTGTGGTTGTATTTTTTAAATGGCAGGTTTTTGAGTGTGCTTTGCTATCTTTTCATATAGGGATTTTTTTTCTACAAAGTCAGTTTAAACTTGGTATATGTTCCCTGTAAGATGAAATACTAGTTTGTGCAAATCTAGGTTCTTGTACATGCTAGACGACCAGTTGCAGAGCATGTTACTGTGAGGTCTGCTCCAGCTGTTCAAAGGAGGAGTTTGTTATGCAGTCAACAGTGTGGGTAACAACTGCTCCTACGTTACTGTTTGAAATATGAAGAAGCTATTAAAGAGACTTGATTAGATATTTCAGTTTGCTGTTTATCTGGGAACAATCCCAATACTCAAAAGGAAAAAAAAAAAAAAAAAAAAAAAAAAAAAAAAAAGGTAGCGCAATCTGCAGTAATCACTTGACCTAACGAGCTAGGTCTTTAGGAAAACCTAGAGATTTGGGTTTGCTTCCCAGGATTACTGTGCAGACTCTTTTGAACATGTTCCATATAGTAAATCAAACGGTGGAAGCCTACCTGCTTTTGAGGCAGAGCTAGAAATTTCTCAATTACATTGATTTAAAATCACACATTTATACAGCTTCACATGAAATATTCAGTAGCCTCAGCAACACTACTGACAGGGTCAGTATAAAACATTGAGGTAAAAGTATTTAAGAAAAAAAATCAACTTTAAAGTCACCAAAGAAGGTCTTTCAAAGTGCAGTGCTTTGCTTTGCCTTGGATTTCTAGCAAGAATTTGACTGAGGACTATTTCTTGATCCATCCTGAACAACAGATTCTTCTTATGGAAATGCTGCAAGCCTGACTTGCCCCATATTAAGTACTTTTTGGAGTTAAAATAATCAACTTTTATTATTAAAAGGTTAATCAGCATATGCTGATATAGGCATTTCTTAAATAAAAATGCTACAGCATTTGAAGCTAACTTAGCAAGATATGATTTTGCTGCTTCTTGTATTAGTTAAATGTTTTTTATTTATAGACAAAAGCTTCGTTTATCTCAACTGTTTGCATCTTCCCTAACACCAGTTTAGGTTTCCAGTGACATCTTCTAGTTTCCAGTTACAGTTCAACTGCTGCTTGATAAGATGTGTCGTACTCACCCAGATTATACTGCTCCCCCCCCATTCGGACATCACTTTGCTTAATAGTCTAGATTTCTAGAAATATATTAGAAACTGAAGTGGAAAATCAGTGGTGAAAAAGATACTGAAAGTATACAATTAGCATAGCAATCTTAAGGTGTGCATATCTAATACAGATACACGTGTATGTAGAGAGTGGATGCAGTAAATAATACTAATTCAAATGATGAAAGGATGCTGCAGTACATGAGAGTATCCATAATTTGGTATGTACTTGCATTATAATGCTGTTCCTGAAGTATCTCTTCTGCTGACTATGCACACAGATCACGTTTATTTAATGATTTGCTGTCATTTTCTCTCTTTACACGTATACAGTATTCCTGGGAAACTCTAAGAGACGCACAAAACATAAGCTGATACTTATTCTTGTGGTTTTTTAGAAAATGAACCCAAATAGGGAACTAAGTTCTCCTTATTTTAATTTATATCTGCTGCACATTTAGTGTATAGTTTTTATAGTATGTAATATTAGCATATAGTTTAGTATACACTAATAGTATATTATGCACAGTATTATGTTAGTAATTTATTTAGTATTAGTATACAGTTTTCCTTCTTACAGGGTGAATATTGCACTATGTATACATGACCTATCTAATTTATCTTTATGAAAAATCTACATTTAAAAATATATATCTATTCTTCTTAAAATCTTCCTCTGATAAAACAGAAAAAAACAACAGGTAAAGCACCATTGACCAGAATTTGTTCCATTGTTGTTTTTTTTTTCTTTCTCTAAAATGAAACGAAAATATCTATTGCAAATTTTTGTTACCAGCATGGCTCTAAATGCTAAGTAACATATTATAATTTTGGATGGAGGTGTGTGTAAGATATACAGTGTATTACGAATAGAAAGGAATAGAAATCTTATTCCCCAGATTGCATTGTGGTATGGACCATATTCCTGTACGAAAACCATTTTCATGGGAAAAATTCATATATGCACAGTTCTGAATTGAATGCTATTTCATTGCTTGCATTATTTCAGGCAAATCATTTCACACTCTTAAAAGATCTACAGTGCATCTTTTTAACAACATAAATTCAGCTGGATTGTTTAAGAAGTCTGCTTCTTTAGTTTTTGTGTTTGACAGTTGAACAAAACAGCAAAAGCATCTTGAAAGCAACCTATTTCTTTGTACTTTTGCCCCCAGGAATTATTTCATTGCTGATTAAAATGTGATGTGGCACCACGATTAGGCCCAGCATTTTACATTAATTTGTCTTCAAGTGGGGCCTAGTTTTGTGTCTCTACAGTTTCACTGAGGGAAATTAAATGAGAGAACAAAGTTGTCTACTGCACGTGCCATTTGCTAATGTGACAACAGCAGCTGTTGCAACGTGAATTTTTCAACCCTCCCTTTCCCTGAGAGCCTGGGAACAATACTGCTTTGTACCTTTTCCAAGCAGTTAAATTTGCAGTTAAATTTAACATTTTATGTAAAATCTAAGGCTATCATCAGGAGAGGCTGTTGCAGATTTCTAAGGCATCTCTATAATTGCAAATATAAAATTCAGCAGAGTAATAACAATTCTCGATTCAGAGTTAAATAAGGTCAATAATTGAATCGCAAATACAGACACACACAAAGACATTTTATACATGAGCCCTTAAAACTCGCACTACTGCCATACGCTCCTGTGTGTGTTTATAATGCAGCCATTTTGTCACTTTTAAGTTAAGGAGGAGGTTTACCTGCCAGTGATAACATAGGTTGCCTTTTGCTTTAGAACTGAGCTACCACAAAAGCTAGAAACTGCCTAGCCAGGGTGTGACCAGGGCTCTAAATCTAAGTAGGTCAGGTCAAGTGTATTTGGAATAGTTTTTATTTGGCTAACTGGTACAGTTACAGGGCCATGGTACAAGGATGGTTAGGCTTCCTTCAGAGATAGACGTTGCTAGGAAGTCCTCACGTCGTGCGGTGGCTTTGACGTTAGCTGGGGAACGGGCGCTCTCCCTGGAAGCACCATACCTTTGCTTTGATGCCTGAATTATTCTACTACTCTTGTCCATGGCTGGGTTCTGTTGAATCGGCCAAATCTTATTCGTTCATCATGTGCCTGAGTGAACAGGGACTGTTGTTTGGCTGGTGGCGTGGGCTGTCCTTGGCACTGCTGCTCAGCACGAGATGACCAGGGGGTTGGACAGGGCCTGCCGGCTCTGTGCCTTCTCCAGAGGCTGGCTTTCCAAGAGTTCACAGGTTGTCAGCTCATGGTAAAGAGTATCTAGGACTTCAAATAGGTGGGCTTTGCCTTTTAAAAGAAAATAGTAAACATTATAATTTGATCAACAGAAAGTTGCACTTTAACAATCATAACACAAGCTCTTTTCTTCATAGGTGCCATTTCAAGTAATTATCATAAAATGTCTAAATTTTGAGACGAAATAACAAATTCCTGGCCCTATTAAAATGCAAGTGGAACTTATGTTTGAGGACTGTTTTCTCTACTGGTTCTCTTGTTTCATTCACTGCCCACTGAGTTTTCATATACTTGTGTGAACAAAGACTAGTTCACGTCACAATGAAAGGTTGCCAATCCAACCATTCACTTAATCTTGTTAAAAAGGAAGAAGATGTTTGATTACAAGGGCTTAGGAAAGCTGCTGAAGTCATACCAAGTGCACAGCCAGAAAACCTAAAGCAGGGAAGGTGAGCTGTTTGTGACGATGGTGATGCAGAATGGACAGAGAGCTACTCAGGGTTGCTGCACTTGGTGTCGCTTTAGGAAACCGAAGTTACAGAGGGGAGTACTTTGTTTCATCAGCATCACTCCAAGCCAGGGTTCCTGTGCAGGATCAGTAGTACCTTCCAGTCACTTGTGTGCTGTGGATACTAACAGTCTCCTCTTCTCTTGTTCTCACTGGGAGAATATCTGACCTATGGCTCAGAAATGGTTTCTCTCTGTGTTGGTGTCCCAGAGCCAACAAGGTCTGTCTTTGCCTTCCTTCCTCTGCCTCCCCTGCAGTGATGCTGGGACAGCACGGCTTAGCTCTGGGCTGCCTGCGCCCTGAATTGCTGGACCCCAGTAACAAGATGACTTTGAAACTGCAAAACCCAGAGTGGTTTGTGTGTTATTCTCCCTAAATCACTGTTAGTAATATTCTCCAAAATTAAACCCTCAGGCCACATCTAGTCTTTAATAACCTCGCCTTTGACTACTGTCTGCCTCTTGAAAGCACCTCCAGCCATGTTCTTAGGCTTGGTACAGGATGTTCATTTTTTGAAGGTAAGTACAAATGCTGTGCTAATAGGAACAAAGTAATCAAATCTAAACCTCCAGGCTGTGATCCCTCTATGGTTCCTACAAAGGCAGCTCTAGCACACCAGACCATTGTCAAGGGAGAGGAGTTTGCAAGTTTAATTTTTCATAAGAGGAACACGAAAGGCTATTATTAGAGGAGTGCGGGTTTGATCTGGTTTCTTCACAGAAATACTCTGTTTTGTAGATCTTGTGTTGCAGCAGAGGAATACAACAGGCAGTGGGATAGCAAGCCTGATAAATAGATGCCTTACATACTTGGTCATGTTTTCCATTTTCACATATCAATGAAGCCCCACAGACATTAGTGAGATACCGAATTGTTCCCTTAAGACGAAATTCTAAGTGAATTGGGCTAAAAAAAACCCCTGGATGTGTTCCTGTTTCTGATGTGTCACAGACTAGAAAGCATCACTTTCTATAGGTAATCTTCTTGCATAGTGCTTCCTTCTTCCTATCCTGTTCTCCAGTACTTGAAGTATTTTTTTTTGTACTCATCTGTTCATTATCTATCTAGTGTTTTTTCCCCAAAAGGACACTTTTCATGCTTCTTGGTCTTTATATATGATTTATTTTCTTACCAGGTTGGGGGTCACGGCAGGATTCCAAAGTGCTCAGCAAGATTTTCCCCAAGGCTCGCTTAGATATGTTCTTTAAAAAACAAAATAATATTATGGCACAAATATGTCCTGCTCCAGTTTAAATGTATGCAACAAAATCTATATGCAGTGTATTTGCATTTGAAAATTAAAATAAAACTGAATCCTGGTAACACAAGACTTTATTTTCAAGCATTTTATCTTAGATACTGCTCAAATAATAGCAGTTTGTGGATGGCCACAGTTCCTTAATATGGCTGTAGAAAGAGAAATAACACTTATTCTGTGGAAAATACAGAATTTTCCAGAATGTGTGCCTAAACAAATCTAGATGGCAAGGTTTGTAAGCAGGGCATGCATGACAAAAGCCTGTTCAGTCCTCTGCTAGACCTGTGTTGAAAGGTAAATGGACAGATTTTGTGGTGTAATGTCAGGAAGAGGCTTCTCAGACCCAGCTGTTCCAGGAATCACTGGGAACCATTTTGGGTATAAACAAATTAGAAGAGACTGTATGTGTCATGTGGCAAGTCCTCTGTTAGTTATATGTTAAGATGTAATAAATGTTAGGCAAAGTGAGAGGATTGTAAAAACTACTTAGGATTTGAATGGTCTATTTCAGTGGTGGTTTTATATTAGAACATTACATAATGTGTCTGGAAAAACAAACTCTCTTAATTTGCTATCAAGACACTAATGCATGCTTTCTGGGGGATGGTCTTGCAGTCAGTTTAATTAGCACTTAGAGTGCCTGTATCCGCAGGGACATGCTGTTGTTAAACTTCAAGAAGTGAAAATGGATGGAGGCTATTGTGGAAGAAAGACGATGTACCTCCTAGCAGCACTGCCTACAGTGGTCATCTGCCTTCTGTTTGTCTGCCCCAGTGGGAACTGGGGCATAGTGGAAAGCAGTCTGTGGCAGGCTGGGATTACACATGACCTCTGCAACACAGTGTGAGGTTTTCATAGTCCTAACAGGACATGCATTTGCCTTTGGACAGTCATTGCTTCGTGGTCTGTTGCAAACGAGATGCTTGGGGTAGCTAAAACATGAAAGTGAATATGCTGGGAAGTGACACTTGAAACTACAGTTTCTGATGAATAAGTTTTCTTTTGTCTGAAGTATATCCCATTAGGGATTTAGGGGTTCCTTGCTAAACTCTACCGGGAATGCTGTAAATTATCTTGTCCTTTGACAGCAGTGTTGCTGTATTGGTGCTATGGGAGTTGACAGCACAGGGTGGCATGTTTCCAGCAATGATTAGCATTAAGTGCTATTATCACTGAGACATGGCACCTTGTGTGATGGATTGTCTCCCAAGCAGAAATGATTTACAATAATACGACTGACCAGTGAATGACATGTTGAAGTCTTGACACAAAAGGTTATTATGCTTGTTGCCAGTCGTAGTCTTTACTAGTTTAATCCTTCACTGGATTATTATTGATGCATGTGTCAGACTCGCAATATGAAAGTAGAATTTCCCTGTCAAGTGCTAAAATAAGTTACCAAATTATGAGATATTGCACTTGGTGCCTAGAGTCATCAGTGGAACATGAGTGTACTTCAAACAAAGTAAAGTGATCATCTGAGGAAGCATTCTCATCTCACACAGATTAAGCAGAGTTTTGCTGAAAATTGAGAAGAACCCTCAGTCATTATCAAAGAAATTAGTTCCTAGCAGTCCAGTGCGGCTCCCAATGTACTCCGTGTTCTACAGATTATCCAATTTGCCTATCTTTTGGCCAGCCCTTAACATTATCATTCCTGAGCAGGAGATTTAAATTTATTTTCTGAAGGACTGAACTGCAATATGGGCCATGTACTTCTGGAATGTTATTGCATCAGATTTTATAAATCCATGTTTGGATTATTAATTGGGTAAGAAACTTCTTATAAAAAATAGCTTATTGGTATATAGGAAGGGGGTTTATCCCTTTCATACTGACTCAGTGATGCTAGGATGCAGTTAAACAAAAGTCCTTTTCTAGAAGGAAAAATAATCTAGAAAGATTTTCTGATTGCTATCTGTAGGTGTGTATGCTGGGTCACAAGCCTTCTGCGTCACTGACAATGTAAATGTATCATCAGCATTTGGGTTAAAAGATTAACAATGTCTAAATTACTGACGCACTTGTGTCAGCAGATTACCGGCATCTAGATTAACGACGGCTAAAAGTGAAAGAATTTGTGTTCATTAGGGAGGAAACAGATAAAAAGGGATTCTCTAAAATAACAAAGCAGAAGTTTACTGGCTTCATGCGGCTATTAAGCCTCCTTGAAAGTGCTGAAAGGAACTAGTTTTTGAAATGAGCATGCGCTAGAGCAACACACGGATTTGCTGTTCTGTTTAGATTGTACAAGAGCATATAAGGACCTGCTTTTCTAATAAACATCAGAGATTGACTGTTAACCATACTGGTGTGTGTCTTGATTCTCAGCCTCGTCCTGCAAATAAGGGGGTTCCTGCTACAGCTATCAGTTTTGTATTCCTTGTTTCCTCTAAATTTTTGTTTAGAGGATAATGAGGGCTTGGAGATCTATATCTAGGCTTCTTATAGAAAGTCAGCCAAGGGGTCTAAAAGTTTTCTGCAATCACTGGGCAGTTCCCAGGTCAAACATATGAAAAAAAGTGTCCTGGTGTAAAATACTTTGTACTTAAAAGAAGGTAGGAACATCCTTTTTAGTTTGGAAAGGACACTATCAAAACCAGTTTTCAGTCTCTGGACTGCTTTCTTGCATACCAAGTCTCGAAGTTGTTGAAGAAGCTGTAAAACATCCATGAGCTTTTCTTCCACCAGTGAGAGCCTAACTCTCTCAGTCTCCAACATCTGCAGCTCCATCTTCAACAACTCGGTCTCCTCCGCCTTTTGCTGCAGTTCACCTAGCAATGGGCCTTTCATCTGGACAATGACACAGGAAATTAAAAGCACTGGAGCTTTTCACTTTCTTGCCCAGTAAGTACAAAACTAAGTTTTCCCCCTTATCTGGTAAATGTCAGATCATTCCAGAAGATTATCTTGAAAGGAAGTAAATTTCTTTAACATACTACATAAAATGAAGAATTGATAGCTGCTAGGAAATGCATGCTTCTTTCTTGCCAGAATGCCAGTTCATGCTACACTGGATTCAAGCAGATCGTTCAGAAATTTATAATACTAGCATTATATTTCAGTTTTCTAATCTTTTGCATTCCTCTATAAGGCATAACTAATTTGTGTGCCCTCACCAATATAATCACATCTTTGTCTTGCAACTCCTATGTATCAATCATCTATACATTCAGTGAAACAAGAAGGTAATTAGCTTTTTTTTTTTTTTTTTTTTTCTTCAGTATTTTGGTTAAAAAAACCAGTGTCTTAAGGAAAAAAAATTAAGAATTCTGGTCCTGCAAAACATTGGCATGTGTTCTTGGTGAAGCGTCGGTGTGCAGCTAAGCACAGAAAAGTCCAGATTCAACCAGACTTTTGAACACTACATAAATCCCAGGCAGGATGGGTCTCCTCGGATCTGGACCCTCCAGAGCTGAGCTGATCTGTCAGTTGCCTCCGACCTCCCCGTGAAAAAAATGTTCAGGATTTGAAATGTAGTTTTTGATTCACTGCAAAATCTAAGTGACATATTTTGAACCAGAAAACTGCCACACCATTTGCAAAAGTAAGTATCTCTGTCACACAGCCCTGTTGCAGATACATGACCAAGTTGCTAAAAAGAGCCTGAACAGCATTCCTTGGAAAATATGTCACTTAAATACTAATTTTGGACCTTTGAGAGCACTGATAGATTTCAAGTTTGTTAATAAAAGTAAACTTATTTCACAATTCTTACTGTGCCCAGTATTCTGAAATGTTACCATTTTTTGTAATTTCTTGTTGAAAACACAATCTAAATATATTTATAAATATTACACTGAGAAGCAAAATTATGTGGGGTAATTGTTAAATTTGTTGGCTCTGTTAATGCCTTTTTATTTACATCTTTTATCTTTATTGCAGTTTTAAAAATAGCTGATTGGAAAAGCTGGAGGCCTTGATATGCACACTATTGAATAGTGTATCCTAATGAACTTTAATAGATGGGAAGGAACTTCAGTTCCCTAAAACCTAAGTCACAACAGAGTGAAAAAAGAAAACAACCCCTGATGGACACCGAGCCTTCTAGAAGGTCATTTTAGTTTCTGACAGTGCTAATAGCATGTATTAGTTGGCACTTATTCCCCCATCAGATGGCAATCAGCCTGTTCCATTAGCTCTCTGTGAGCTTTGCCCTGTGAGGCACCCCAGCTCCTGCAAGCTATACAACTGCAACAGAATTTTGGATCACTTAACCTGGTCCATCTGCCAAACAATTATTTCAGCATCCCTGTCTGAACGACTCTTTAGATGAATACGCTAACATTTTCCTGTATGGAGAGCCAACTTTGTTACCACCAGTGTGGCCGCAGGCTGACTGAGACATAACAAATTCTCTAGAGGCTGTGGGAGGTCTTCAATGAATTAAACATGTGGTTTCCTTTATTATATTGCAGATTGCCTCCACTTTGTAAATATTACCCAGCATAGATATGCACTAAACACATGAAGAGGTTATGTTCCAGTACATCTGAAGTAGTGTCATATCAAATAACGGAGAGGTAAAAGGTCACTATTTTTAAGTGTAAAATAGACATTCCCAATATGCAATTAGACAGATGCTCATGGAATTTCATAACCGGTGCCCATCTATCCTGGTCCTGCACCCCTAACATCACTTATCTGCTGCTTTTAGCTTCTGCTTCAGTCATGCTGGCAAAACTGCCTCCTTGGAAAGCAGCACAGGGAGTCCTTGTGCTCTGCCGGGTGTTACTGAAGGGCTGCAGCTGGGCAGTGGATCCCACATCCAGACATGAATGGGACAAGCACAAACTCCTCTCCTTAGTATGCATGCCACTTGAGTTCTCCATAGCTCTCTCGTGTCATGACCAGCTGCTTAGTTTGTGTAGACAGCACAGGCACTATACTTAGCCAAGAGTGCCACAGTGATATTTGGAGATAGCATTTGTTGCTACTGCTGCTTCCTTTTCCCTCTTCATTTTGACCTCTCTTACAAAGCCCTTTTTCTTGTATTCCCTGTTCTGCAGCTAATAAACTGCTTTCCACAGCTGTTATACTTTAACAGCCACCTCTCATCTAAGAATGCTAGTTTCATGATACCTTTGTTTCATTTATATGTATGAGTATGCATTTTTTGTCTTCTTATTGTGCTTTAAGACAGGGCTCAGTGTACCATTAAAACATTCTCCCAAATTGTTTTCCCTGGCTAGCTTACATCTAGCACCTGTTGTTACCTTAGCATTTGCAATAAGATAATGACAATAGTTAAGCGTAAGCTATTTTTAAAACCTAGATACTGAGGAGGGATGTTCAGTAGTTAAGTCACAGGGCTCAGAGGAGTAGGTTTTGTTCTTAGCTCTGTCAAAGTCCCTCAGCAAAGCCTGATTTTGGATTTATGCCTTGTTTGTGAAATGGAAATCCTACCTTGCCAAACACCAGTTTTGAGAAGAAGTCAGGTGCTAATACCCAACCCTCTTGTCAAAAATGTCTTGGGCAAAATCTGAGCTCTGGAATAGCATGTACAAGTACATCTAGGACAATGAATAATTAATATGCAAAAATCCCTTAGGAATGTATTGTATTTTCCACAGAAGTTCAGAAGGCTGTCGTATTAGAGCCATTGTTAAGCAATGAACCTGAGAAACACTTTCAAGACAGGAAGAAAACAGTAACAAAATGGCAGAATGAAGTGCCAAACTGTGCTGTGTAATTTATCTTTTAAATCATTTCACCCTCAGAGGACCAGAGTGTGGCAAATGGAGCAGCAGTTTTTAAGAGAGGCTGCAGAGATGATCTGAGCAAAAGCAGAATGCCTTCAGAGTATCAGTAATCCTGTCAGGCAAATTGACAGGAACTGTAATGGAGGAGAGAATGGTGAATACACAGATGAACAGAGTGAAGAATCTATTAGATTCCTTTGAAATGGTCTGTGAATATATACAAATAAGTTAATTCAATCGATAGACTGTATTTCAAATTTGCAAAAAGGTTTTGATGAGATTCATCACCGAAGACTCAAAAAAAAAAAATGTCCCTGCCAGAGAGCAGTAGTGCAGATCCTGCCATGGACTTAGGGCTGGTTAAAAGGTGGGGGCAGAGCAGAGTGACAGACCAGGATTGCAGGCTTCACAGTGGAAGGGGATAATCCTTAGGGTCTCACAAGGAGCTGGGATAAGGCCCGAGCTGTTCAGCATATTCATAAATTATTTTTTAAAAAAAGTGAATGTCCAAATGTTTAAGTTTGCTCTCAATTCATTTTTCGGGAGTAATCAAAAGTAAAGCTGCCTGTGAAGAATTACAGCAGGACTTTATGATTATGATTTAAAAGCTATGGGCAATAAAACATAGATGAAATTCAGTGTCAATAATGCAAAGTAAGACATGTTGTAAAGGTACACAATGTCATATGAATGCAGTGATGGTGACTGCCGCTCAGGAAGGAGATCAGAAGGGTGTAATCTCCTGAACATAGCTCAGCAGTCAGCAGAGATCAGAAGCAGGCATGCTAGGAGTTATTAGGAAAGGAACTAGGGACAAAACAGAAACTATGATTATGCCATGAATGACCTCTAAGAACATTTTCAGTTCTTCTCATTTGAAAAGGTTAATGGAGCTTGAAAAGCATATAGAAGAATAAAACAGAATAATAAAAGTAAGTAATGGTTTCTATAGCAAGAGAGCTGAGGCAGACTAGGAATGGTGATTAACTGAGGCAGTATTTCTGGTAGTAAAAGTCTGTAAAATTATGAGGGAAAGATCATTTGCTGATTCCCAAGCACAAAAATGAGGTGACACTGGGTGATCAGGCAGGAGATGTAAAGATAACAATAACAAATCCTGAAAAGCTGTTTCTTTTTAACTACTATGTGAAAGTCCTTGACATGAGATACCAAAATTATCTCTAGCTGTAAAGACAGGAAAGGTAAATTCATGGTAAATATCTCCAATACTGTCTATTAAACATGATGCTCCCTGCAACATCTAGTTCAAGATGTGTCTGTCCCTGTGTATTGGCAACCAGATAAGGAAGGCCAAAAGGAAAACCCTCTGTACTGTTTCTCATCGATTTTCTCTAAGCAACTGCTGCTTCACATCAGGTGCGTGATATTAGGATGAACTTTTCATTTGTCCCTCTATGGCAGGTCATAAACTAATTGTCTTTTTAATTAAGCTGGCAGTTTTCATGTAAGCTATTTTTAGAAAATAATTGGCATTTCTTTGCAGCATTACACTTGGCAGCGTATCATTTTATTTTTAGAGTTCACTCATGTTTTCTCCATCTATTTTCCCCAGGTCCTGACACCTTCATCACACTGTCTTCAGTAAGCTATTTTTGTTCAGGAGAACTTTCTAGACCTGACAAATTTCAGAACTCTCTTATCCCCTGGTTTTATAAGTCTTAAACTGAAGCAATTATTAATCGGTATTTGACAGTGTTGCTCTTCACTTGCCTGCTGAGTTTGTTACTTGCTAGCTTTGTTGTTATTTGTCTACTTTCCAGCACTGAGCAGGTCCAAGCAGAAGCGTATAGGGCAGTGTGTAAGGTAGTTTTGTCAGGTGATCAGAGAAAGTGTTCTTGGTGGTTTATTTATTAAGCCAATATATATATTTGCAAGTTAGATGACAGAGAGCATTTCTCAGTCTTGCAATTTGCTTTGTGTTGATTACAGGAACAGTCACCTTTTTGAAAACAATTACTTATTACCTGTCTGTCTGTTTTGTAGCACTGAAAAACCACACTTATGACTGCACACAAGATATAAATGCTTGGCTAAATAAAAGTAAGAGAGTTTAAGAATAAATTTCTAACAGGCTCAAAATGATTCATCCTACTGATTTTAAATTCATGTCGCAGTGAGTTGGCACTATGTCTTATTCACAACCCTGCTTGTTTTTAAACCAAGATCAACAGATTCCATTTTTGTCCTTTTGTATTAATCTATTGATAATAGTACTTTTCTGAACTAGGTACACAGAACTAATATCCATCACCAGAGATTAAAAAGAAGGCAATATGATACTGCAGAAGAAGATGACTACCTCTGAATGAACAAAAAAAGAAGAAAACTGGTACTACCTACAGGAAGGTATTTCCTTGCTGTAGGTAAAAGAATAAATGTAGTTTTTTGCGTGGTCTGATGTTAAGCAGTATAAATGAAAGCTTTGTGTTGCTCTGAGAAGTATTACAGGAATAGTCATTGAATACTGCAAATTGTGTAAGACACAAGTATGATCTTTTTCTGTTTCTAGATTTTTTTCCTCACAAGTAAACTCTTTTTAATTTAGTCAAGGGGGGCGATGATATGAAATAGTGCTAAAAATCAAAGGATGGCAACATCTAAAGAAGTTGAATATTTTAGTATTTAAATAGTTTACAGATTAAGATAATCCTTCCAGAAATACTGAAATCTTTACTTTCCTTTTAAAGAAGGGACATAAAATGTGGAATGAGCACTAACTGAGCCTTACGACAAAACAGACCAAAGCAATGCATATGATGCACTATTTATGTTTCACAGAATGATTGCTACCATTTAAATCTATGCCCATCAATGGCTGAGGTTAGCAGTATTTAAATAGTGAGATCACATGGGATTACTAGGATACTGCACTGGGGCTTTTAACTACTGTGGTTATAACCTCTGCTGAAAGAAAGCTAAACATGCTGCTAAGCCTGAGAACCATTTTAAAAAAAATTTATAAATCTAAACCCAGTCTAAGCCCGAGAACCCACCAGAGTAAACTGGATGATCTCCTCTGACAGATTCCAAAACAGTGAGCCCCTGCATCTCAGTCAGCTGGACGGATTTCTTGAAAAGTTACTGTGTTCCCAGGGGAGCACAATGTCTTAGGACATGAGAAGCATTTCATCCACACCAAGGAACCACTGAAAGCTGCCTACAGTGACCCTACGGCTGACATTCGGTCTACAATGGTATCAGTCCCAAACAGCATCAGCAAACATCTTAAATCATTTAAATAAAGGGTGGTATTTGAAGAGCCTGTGTCGTGCTGTGCCTGGTGTATGTCTCATCCTCCAGACAAATGGAGTTTCATGTAGGAACCATGCTAGAAATGTGGGTGTAAGAGGAAAGCATGAGATTTGAGCTGACAAACTGATAAACAGTAGCAACAGAGAGCGGAATGGTCAGAGTAAAATATAAATGTATATGTATATGCAGCTACTTAAATATACATTAACTCTTTCACACTCTGCTTGGCACCTGTTACCTCTTCCATATTCGTTTCCGTTTTTTTCACTTCATGCCCTTTAAACTCAAGCTGTTCAGTTAGCTGTGTGATTCTCTCTGTGAGCTCTGCAGGGGCTGCTTCGTAGCCATCAGTATTGGTGGTGTCCAAGCAAGACATGAGCTTTTTCCGCATTTTTTCATCACATCTATAAATACATTAAAAAAAAAAAAAGTTAGCAAAACCTCATGATGAAGGTCTATGTCTGTAAAAGCTAATTTTCCTGCAAAAGTCTTGGCAGCACAAATCACAAATTAGTGTCCTCGCTGACACTGGTTAGGGCTAGGTGGGAACATCCAGCATGTTGTTTCCTATGGGCTGCAAAGGATGAGCAAAGGGGCCTGCTGATTTTTCTATATAGTATTACTGCTTCTTACTGAAGCCACAGTGCCTTCAGGTCACGAAATAATCTTTGCAAAGGGCTCAAATAATGTTAATCTCAGAAACCTACCCGCTGCCACAGCAAGGGAGCTTGGCCAGTGTGGTTGTCCTGTGGTCCACCTGGGTTGGCTGGTCTCCTGCCCACTTCTCCTCCTCTTCATCAGAGGCAGCCTGGCCCTCCACAGAGCGGAACAGCTGATCCTCTGCTCGGGAAACCAACAACCGCTCAGCAACAAAACAACCACCCCGATGTGCTGCAGCTCTGGCAATTCAAACCCCGGAGACTGAGACAGAAAGAAGTGAGGTTTTTAAAAACCCCAGTGGAGCACAATGCAGGGTCCTTCAGCAGCCATGGAGAGGGGCTTTAAGGGACCCTCAGAAAAGATCATTATTTTAAGAGTCTTGAATACTTCAGCACTCTCTTGCGGGAAACTTGTAGCTGTTTCACTTCTTGTCTTTAAGTAAATATAATATAAGTGTGAAGGATCACTGTGTTACTGGGGGGGGGGCAACTACTGTTCATGTATACAGCTGAATACACACGTTTCAAGAGGAATGAGAAACCATTGTATGATGTAAGATTTTTTTGATAGTCATTGTACCAGCTGAACACATATTCAGAGTGCAGGAATTTGATATAAGTGTTCTCTAATTCATTCCCTTACTGTGTTTTGTAGGGACAGTGACTTTAATATATACATGTAATATTAGATCCATAGCTATCTAATGTTTTGTTATATCTTTTTTTACCCAAGCCTAAAGTCTCCTCACATGCCAGATAAATTATAAATGAACGTCTACAATACAGTAAATATATACAGTAATATTTTAATACTCTTTCAGCTGTATCTTATAAAAGCTATTGCATTTAATGCCTTTTTATCACAAGAAGATATTTACCGGGACTTAGAGGATGATCATGATGCCTGTAACTTACTGCAAGCCTTTTGATACACTGAGTACATGAAAAGCACTGGCCACATCTTTATCCTGAACATTTATTTTGAGCTGACATCAGGTCAAGCCAATGACAACATGATTTTAAATTTTATAATCATTTACCTTAATCACTGTCAGTTAATTTAACAGGTTTAATGAGGTCTAACAGACGGATTGAGTCAAATGCTATTTCTTCAAATACTGAAACACATTTGGCCAACAAGTGTATATTTAGTTCATTCAGCACAGGAAAGGGGGTTCAAAGGGATGAATCACCCAGCAGAGACTCTCAGGTAAATGAATTTCTGTCTCATTTCAAGGGCACAAGCACCTGCAGTTCAAGCTAAAATGCCATTTTCTGTTGATGCTATTAGAAGGGTTTCCATGTAGCACCCGGCCCGTACCAGCAGCAGCGAGCGGTGGCTCGCACCCCTGCGTTCTGGCAGATCCCCTTTGGTGGGCGGCCGTGTCACACCTCTGCAGGAGCCCTTTGCCACCCCACTGCCAGCCAACAGCATTTTAATCCCCTCTCGGGTCTATTTTCAGCAACAAAGGAAAAATGACCTGGATTTTTTTTTTTTAATTTTCTTTTGGTTAACAGTCAGCATACGTATGTTACTGCAATTTTCATTCCAGTAGCATTCAGTGTGCCTAATTTATAGGTTATCATGTTCAATAATTTATTGCTTAAGCAGGAACAAAGCTTAGTTGCATGGAATATTGCTCTTTAATTAGAGAATGAACGTCTACATTTTTATGGCAGTCCTTATACTGTACAGACTAATTTATTAGCAGCACTTTCTTTCTGTGAGAGAGAGGATTAGTAGTGAACTTTTCTCTCAACATTTATTTTCTTGCCACAAGAGTTCAAAGGGATAACAATCAGAGTTTACAACTGCTGTGGCAGCCATGAGAACTGATTGCCCAGCACTATGGATGCTTCGCAGAGCTTCAAACTACTATGTTGAATTCAGTAAATGATTGCTGCTGCTGGCATAGCAAACACTCAGGTTTTTAAAAACGGAAGAAAAAGCATGTGAATCTCAAGATGTCTTCATGTTATGTTAAGGCACTTGTAATGGTTTTTTTTGTTCACACACCCCACTAAGAATGTCCTCTGCACTGACTGAATGTGTGTGCAAAAGAGACTACGTTTACATCCCCCTTGTTAGGTTATGATTAGGAGGACTAGAAACCAGAGAGGAAAAAGAAAAATTTCTTACTTATCTCTCTTAACATAAAGCAAATATTTTATTAAAAATCTTCTACTAAGCTAATATCTTAAAAAATTTTTTCTTTCACTAGAAACATACATTATTATTATGATATTAATTTTTAAAACTAGCTAATGTAGAATAACTTACCCAATTCCATTGATGGAAGTGCTCCTCTGATCTAAGAAATTAATATTTATTAGAGTATATATATATATATAAAATAAGTATGCATCTATATTTATTAATCTATTATATCTACATTTATCTCAGATGTTCACACACCTCTTTATATTTGTTCAACTTTCTGAGTTACCTTTCTTTTCTGTCTAACTAATAATTTTTTATCTGATAGAACACTTTTTCACATTTTTAAATCTTGAAATATGCGTAGTGTAGGTTAGACATAAAAACTGTCTTTAAGTGTCTGATTTGATAAATTTATTTGTAAAAGCAGGTTTATTTTATAAGTCTAACCACATGGAGAACATGCTACAATGTTAATTGTATTTGCATGTCACTATTTTTCACATTCTGAGTAGCTGCTTGCCAGCTCCATTCAATGCATACCTAAAATCTAATTTTTTTGTCATTACATACAGGTCTCCAGACTGCAGTAAAGATGCCTTGTTACTTACAGTTTATGTCAGATAAGTGCTTTTGCCACCTTTGAACTAAATGTCTCAAAAAAAAAAAAAAAAAATCACTGTAGGTAAGCCAGACTTTCCAAACTTTGTATTTGCTGTCTACCTGTCATGTAAAGCACTACCAGGGGTGGGGGGAGATGTTTGGCTTCTAAGATGTCTATCAGAAATGTGCCTCATCATTACAACAGCTAAACGACTCCCCCCAAATTACCATCTGTTCGAGAACCCTTGGAACTGTCTGCTCTGCAAAAGCCTAGTCGAGGTCAGTGATAGCAAGAGCCAGCCTTGGCAAACCCAGTGATTTTAGAACTTTCAAAGAACGCTCCATGCAGTCCCATGGAAGTCACAAGCCTGCAACGTTATGGCAGTAGTTAGTGCTACCTGTGCAAAACAGCTTGGACCTTTTCAGAGTTGCTGGAGCAGCCAGGATGTTTCCAAAGAGTGCGACTGTACAGAATATTAACTGCAAATAGTTTCCTTGGAAATTATTTTAGCTGAAGTTCTGAGGTTTTATTTATAAAGAAAAGAAAACTTCATACTTTTAAGCCAGGAAAAGGTTTTGGTGAGGTGAATCATATGGAAAAAAGCAGTTTTAAATGATTACTCTAAATGATACATTCAGTCTTTTATTAAACATAAAATTATGTGGGGAGGGAGAAGTAGAAAGCTGGGATATTACCTTTTATTTAGGTCTAGGATTTCAAGATTCATTAGGATTGGTTTGCAGCTTTTGTGGTTTAATCTATACTGCTTTTCTGCTGAGGATCTTACAAATCAGTGAGGAAATGAAGCAGTTGGGCACTGGGTTTATTACCGTTCTCGGAAATCCCAGCTCCGCCAGTGGGAGACCGTCGATCTTGCTGCACAGCAGACAGGCAGTATCTTCCATCTGGCAAGGCTGCTCCCTCCTTCTGCCCCGGGCTGCTTCCTGAGGGCAGCTGGAATCTCACCGTTTCTGACCTTCAAAAGAAGGGCAAGGTAAAGTGGACTTGTAGGAAATTTGACAAACCAAGATAAGTGCGCACAGCACAGTACATGAATGGCTTCGATTGAATTGCTGGAGAAGAACAGGGGTATCTACCTTCAGTGCCTGTAAAATCAAACCTCCAAGGGCTGCATTTTGTTGCTTCACCAAGAATCAAAGAAAGGTGGATTTCAGCTGTTCCTTAGGTGATAAGAACTAAACATTATTTACGGCTTTTAATTCAGGTCAAAGACATCCAGAAACTAGATACGGGAACAGCCTGCTCTGGCCATAAGCTCTCCCTTCTCCAGTGACAGTGATATGGCAGTGTGTGCTTCATTTTTACCCTGGGCACCCTAACACCATAGCTGAGGTGGCAAGTCTTGCATCTGGCCACTTGAACTGGCACTCAGAAATATCACGCTGTTTTGAGCTAAGTCTTCCAAGTACTGGAGATGAAGCAGTGTCAGAGACTGAAAAGTCAAAAAGAAAGATACATAAACAGAGTGACACATCTGAAAACCAGTGAGTTATAGGTAAGAAGCATCTTAGCAATAAGCTTCTGCATTGCTGACAATCTCATTTGAAACTGTTTTTCTGAGTGGAATGTAGAGAATATTACAGCTATGTGTTTTAAAGGAAAGAGCTTTCCAGGGATGGTACACAGATCATATAACTGATGAATATGAGTCCTTAAACTTGCCAACAAAATATATTTTGAAAAAAGTAATTTAATTCAATGAAGGACAATGATTGTGCAGACTGAGGAATTTACAGTTACCTAAATGTACGGCACTGGGGGAGTACCTCCAAGGAAATTCAGGGTAGCACATTAGAGGAAAAATCCAGACTATGTTTACATGTAGTTGAGTTGAAAATGTTCTAACCCAATCAAGAGAAGACCCAAGCACGTAAGACAGTACGAGTCATTTGGTGTAGTAAAATGGGAACTTTTACTATACATGAAACAAAATAACCAATCTAGTAACATGGATTTATTTTCTCACAATCTAATAAAATATTACATTTTGGAAAGAATGGGAATGAAATGTGAAATGACCATCATGATGAGTCCATTGGAGTTACTACTCCTGTTTTATTGGAATTCATTTGGTTTGGTTCAGTTTGGTTCTCCTGCCTGACATTTCACAGGGATGTAGTGAAAGATGTATCGCTGTTTTAGAAGAAATACAATCTAAGTATGCAATATAGTTGACAAAGAAAATTAACTGAGACACTCCTATTTACATGCAAAATAGTAAACAGGGACTATGAAATTGAAAGGCTACACATAATACTGAATTTATTTTAGGAGTCTTGTTTTTTCACACAACATACATAATATTTAATTACACAAAATGTTACTGAAATCAAAGCTATGAAGGATTTAAGAAATCAGACTCTTATAATGTAGTAAGAAACTCATAGTTACACTGGATAAATGGAAATTTGGCATATCAGTCCACACATGTAAGGTTTATACCAAATGTTCTGCAAGGTAGGAATAAGCTACCTCTCAGGTATGGAGCTAACTGAACAGCAAGTCCAGTCCATTGCACGCTTGTGTACATTACGTGTGTATGTTGTGTAATGTAATAGATATTTCCTATAGAGTATATTTCCATTACTTTCTTTTGTACTGTTTAGAAAACACTTAACTTTCAACAGTTATACACAGGATATTTTCCTGTTTAGACCATGTAATAACATGGTTGTACTTTTCCCAGTAGGAGCTGTCATGTAGTTCACAAAGAATTTATATGCAGAAGAAAGCAAACCAAATTCAGGGGGGTTATAGTAAATTAAGTTCCCTACAAATTCTTCCCAAGATTAGTTTGGGTCTGGTAAATATTGAATATTCCTTGTACTTAGCATATTAAATAGTCATCAACAAAAAGTGAGAGTTAAAACACTTAGCAAATTGCTCCTACTAAAACAAGTTGTATAACATGATCTTTTTGTACAAATCTTCTAAATACTTCCTGCCTGTAAATTCAGCAGCTGCTAGAAACAGGACTTTAGATGTGGTAATAGGAAAGCTGATGCCAAGTTAGAGATAAGTATTGCAGAGAGCTTTTGTTTAAACTAACACAGGTGCTGTCAGTTCCTGAAGAACCACACCAATATTCATTCCCTTGTTGCTTGTGAAAGCATATGATCATGAATTTAACAACAACAACAAAAGTCGGTATTTAAAAATATCTGTAGGGACAGAAGCTGAGGTAAACCATGCTTAGTAACCAGCACTTATTCTACCCCCTCGAGTAGAACCGACTGCATAAAAAGTAATGACATATTTCATTTACAATTTGTGGTATTATTTAGCTTAGCAACAATTGGATTTCCTGTAAAGCCAAGGGAAATAGCAGTCTCCAGAATGGAGCCTGGCCAGTCATTTAGCTTCATTAGCTCTGGAAAAAATAATTATGAAGTAGTGCACAAATAAAAAGCACTGTAAGCTTGGGCATTCAAAATATGGGCTCCTAGAGGCATCACAGAGGTTCAGTGTTCTGGACAGTTATTGTGGGATATAACAGTATTTCCTTTCACAAGACTGTATATATTTTATCTTTCTGAAATGTGCTAATTTTCTTCATTTTAAGACAAATATTTTGGGGTCTGGTACTCAGTAAGAGCCTTTTATAATTTCTTGAGGACTATAGCTGGTATTGTTCTTTTAGCTTAGAGCTGCAGTATAATTCAGATTCGTTTGGATTTCAGAGACTTCTAGACTTAGATAACATAATACAGAGATGTTGACATTTCAGTGAATATTCATTGTAGTCTCAAAGTTGGTTAAGATTTTATTCCATGAAACATTATGAATATTCAAGTATCATGAAAATCTTTTCCAGCAAAAGTGGGTCAACGCTCTGATGTTTAATGGGAGATCTGCTGGTGGTATCAACTTCTTAGCTCTTATATCTTGCAGTCCAAGGAAAGTGAAGAAGTTGGTGGAAAAAAAACAATCTTTCCCATATAATTCAGGATTTTGAATAGCAGACTTCCTCTACTTAGATGAGATTCAAGACAGACCTAAAAAGTAGCTTTCAATTCTCTGTAGTTCTTGTAAGGGAACTTCTAATTTGTTGATGAAATACAAAGTATAAACTCTGATTATTCTACAGTAATTTTCTTGAGCGAACTTCATCAGCTCTCTCTTAATGTGGAGAAATTAAGGGAGCCATACAGATGGCATATTTTGTTAGGTCTTTCTGCCCAATATATTGATTAAAGACAGCCATGTCTGTCTTCTCCAGAGATGTTCATCTGGGAAACTAGAAAGAAATTTAAGTCTTCAGCTAGCGTTTTCAGACCCATGTGCTCCAGAATTTAAATCCTGGTCCTGGCAAGGCTCTATCATTTGCATCAAATTCTGTTGTGCTTTAGTTTCCCCGACAGAAGAAATATAGCAAAATTAGTCTACCTTATACCTAACTAAAAAGGCAACACAGATTAAGATACAGCCTTAATTTCTAGAACCAAGTGTGGAAATTATTTCAAGGTGTTTAGGAATGTGCATGAAGGAACATGTGGCCAGACAATCCAGAATTTCAGAGCTTGTTCATGCCAGTTAAAAATGAAGAAAAAAAGCAAACAGCAACAGGAGTAGATATGAAAATAAGAATAATAAAATACAAAACCAAAACCAAAAACAAACAAGAGATTTTTAATTTGATCAGCTAATAATAATGTCAAGGACCCGCTGGAAATAACAAAACTGGAAAATTGTTGTTTTGGTAGTCTTGGCTTCTATAGGCTTCCAGAGGAGGGCTGTATAAACACAGTTAGTTTCCATTCATGTCATTCAAAACCAGTTTAAGGCAATAATCTGCCGAGTTTGGTGCCAAAGATCGATCAGGAGGCAGAGCTGGAGATCTTTTTGGCTATGCAGAAATTGTGAGGAGGGAAAGGAGACTGCTAATACTGTTTGTGTAGCTGCAAGGGTAAACCTACCGTTCCATTAAACTATAACTGGAAACCAAACATGACATGGATTGAAGAAGGTTTCAATGAGAAATGTTGCACAGAACTAGAAGAATAGCATTATTAAGGAGACAAATGAATCTTTGCTATCTATTGGAAGAAAGGGGCTGTTTTCTTCTTTTGATTTTTTGCCATTGATCTTACATTCACTTGGGAGGATATTTCAAATTTCTGACTGGATTTTCTTTGTTTTTTAGTCTTTAAAGCAGAGGCAACTGAACAGTACTGAAGGTTTAATTTCTTAGGGTTGCTTCATGCTCCTTAGTTCCCATTGTTAAAGTACACAGTTTTTCATCCTTGTTCGCAAGAGAGGTGGTGGAGGCATGAATAGAGTCGTGGTGGTGTTCTTTGGTAGCAGAACAATGGAACACCATGATCTCCTGATTTCTCATCATGAGATTTAACCACTAGGTCATTTTTTCATATCTGGGAGCTTTTTATTTTCTTCAATGCCAAATCTGTACTCTTAATTTTCAGGTGGCAGAGGCTTCGGGATTTAATAATGAAAGAGGCCAACCGGTATGTTTTCACTGTCATGGTAAATGCTAAAAGGAGGAATCTTTGGTCATTCTTAAACATAGGTTTAATTCTTTTCTCATTAGTATTCATACAGCATCAAACGGGTCTTCAAAAATGAGAAGAATGAATAAACAGCACGTTTGTTTAGGGCAAAGATCAGAGGGGAAAGTAGTGCTGAAGGTGCCTGGGAAGCGTTTGTGTACGGTGCAGTGTGTCAAGGCTTCCATGGAGACAGGCACACAGTCCACATACATTTTCAAGTCTTTGTACTGAGGATAATGGGCAGCTCGAGAGAGGGAAAATTGAAGATGGGAGAGTTTGCAAAGTACTGGACCTTAAAGTAATGTTCATGACTAATTGGCTTTTAATTGGCTCTCCTGTTATTGTTATGGAAACCTTTAACTGCAGCAAAAAGCACCTGCTTCTGGTGCTAGACAAATCTTCAATTTAAATAATTCCTGAGTAATCATAAAATAACTCTGAGGAATTA